TACAATTACCACTACCTCGCCCTTGTTTCTGTCCTTCATTGTTGTTCTTTTTCTTACCGGAAATCCTAAACTTCTAGCATATGTTTTGTAAAACTCAAACACCGCTTATGTGCTATCAAACTTTATCCCCACTTCTGGAACAACCACATTAACATCTTCTTCTCCGTTCTTATATCCTTCTGCATCTTTTATTTAAGAATATGTATATACAGACACTATTATGCATATTATGGACAAGGAGACATTATGGACACGGAGACATATTATGCACATACAAACAGTAAAATTATCAACACTTCATAGTATGATCAAACCACTTACAAGAACAAAGGAATAAAGTATTATTCATGGGGAGACATTATTATTTGGATACAGACGATATTATTTCAAAAAAGACAGTTTTATAATCACATTCTAAAACCACTCTATAAACTTCATAAGGTGTGAACACTCACAACAACACAAGAATATAGAATCATGGAAACATATTTCAAATTGTTTGTACGAACAGACACTAAATATCTCCACGCAGACAAATCAATTCTCTACCTACACACACAAACAAAACTTATTTGCTTATCCCAAGTGGGAGACGCACAGACAAATCAGTTCTCTACCTACAAGTTTTATGTGCATTCATCAACGCTGTTTGTGAAGCATCATTCAAACACAACATAACAACCACGAAGACACGACGCTACATAAACACCTATTTAGCTCAACCTCCACAGCTTTCCCATCCGTCGTATGTTCATCGCCTTGCATGACAGCCGTCAGAGTGTGTTTGACGAGCACTTTGTCACGGTGCGTCAAAATAAATTCAATACTAAACACTTATACGTAGTATAGCGTAGTAGAGTTCATATCCACAGGGAAAGGAATAATTCTCTTTTTATGATACTTAGTAAATAAAAAGGGGGGATTTGGATTGAGTGATTTAATTTAATTAAGAACTAAGATGAACAACCTATATGTGTTTAATTCAAAGATAAAAAGGACTTGGCATTGCTACTTTCCACTTGTTGATATATTTTAGTCGATCATTGTTATATCTATAACTTATTCCCTCTCGAATACTCAATCGGGGAGTATATCCACTTCATCGATGGTAGTTATTAACAACGACCGTTCATTAATAACCCTTACTATTAATCAAATATAGAACAACGTCTTATACCGATTTAATAGTAGCATTTAATCTTTCTAACTCCTTGATGAAATCAATTGAGATTGATAACCTCAACACAAGCGGTTTCGGTTTAACCAACAAAATTAATCCCTCTTAAGTTTATTAACCACGACCGTGCATTAATAAACCGAAGTTACTTACTTGTGAAACCATCAACGATTAACCATCGGTTCGTTGATTGTTTCTAGTAATAATTAATATATGAAACAAAACTAGTTGATCCTTTAAGTAATGTTCAAAATATTAATATGAAATAAGAGTAGGAATTAATTAATATTCAAGGAAGAATATTATTAAAGAAGATGAATCCTACTATAATTAATATCAAGATGTTAACTAATTGTCATCTTAGCAACACTCCTCAATATTAATATAGAGAAAGAAAATACCATTCTAACTAATGTCGAGATGTTAACTAATTGTCATCTTAGCAACACTCCCCAACATTAATATAGAGATGGTATTAAGGAAAGAACTATTAATTAATATTCAAGGAAAGAAGTTAAGAAAATAACTCACAACTTTAATAATCAACAAGCTTCAAGAGCAACACCAAGAATGGAAGTTTAGCTCCTCATTTGGAGACTAAACATAGCTAGAAAAATATAAAGAAATGTTATTCTAAACTGAGCTAAAGAGTATGGAAGAAGGGATCATCTTTTGTGAAGAAAAAGTGTGCTATTTATAGGTGTTTTTCAACACCTTTGGCCGGGTACCCGACCGGGTCAAGTACTCACCCGACCGGGTCCGGTCAAAATCAGATATTTCCCCACGTTCTGGTGATCTTCGGCATGTTAAAGTGTCCGGGTCAAGTCAGACCCGACCGGGTGGGGTATGGGACCCGACCGGGTGAGTGCAAAAATTGGATATTCTTCACGTTCGGGTGATCTTTGCACACCGGGTTGTCCCCGGTCACTTCTCACCCGACCGGGTGAGGTAGTGGGCCCGATCGGGCCATGCACTTTCTTTGCATTTTCGTTTTTCACTTTTTACCCGACCGGGTCAAGTGTTATACCCGGTCGGGTATTTGCTCCTGGGCAGCCAAATCTTTAGACCTGCACAAACACGGGCTCGGGCCGGGCTTATTCTAAAAAATCTGTCCACTTGTAGTGGGCGGGCCCGGCCCGGCCCGGTAAAACGGGCCTCCTCATATGTCCAAGCCCGCCCATGAGAGCGGGCCGGGCTGCCCACCGGGCTTTTGGGCCCGTAAAATATCCTTTTGTCAACTTTGTTAAAAAAATGAAAATATTTATAAAATAACATCACAACATTTTAAATGCAATTAAATAATTAATGTACTCACAACACATTTTGAACACAAGAATACGTTTAAATGCGAAACACAAAACGATTCTGGAAAATAAAAAGAATCCAAATTCCAAATAAGCATCCATATTCCATAATTAAAAGCACAATCACAGATTCACAATGTGCAGCGGAAATAGTCAAGAGTATCTCCAAAAAGATTTAACAAATGTATATCATTACAGTTCAAATTTAAATAGTAGAACACAAAAAGTAATTGGTATCCCAAGATTCCAAGAACTTCTCGACATTCCTTCATTTCACCAGAAAGTAATTGATCTCCCAGACTGCTCTGCCAAATGCCAATAAATATCAAATAATGAAAACCAAATATTATTTATAAACCAAGTAAAAACATTGAGATAATGAAAATAATGGAAAATAATGACACTTGTGAATAATGACATGGTAATGAAATTATACTTCCAAGTATTTTAAGTTTTATACGTATAGTCATATAATGTATAATTATATATAGAATAATATATATAATATAATATGTTTACGGGCCGGGCTTTTAGGCCCGACCGGGCCTATATTACAACCCAAGCCCGCCCATATTTTAAACGGGCCGGGCCGGGCCCGGCCCGGTGGGCTAAAGCATGTGTCCAAACCCGCCCATTTATATGGGCGGGCCGGGCGGGCCGGCCCGGAATTGTGCAGGTCTACATCACAGCTGATGTGTTGTTTCCACCGGGACTCTACCCGAAAATATCTTCCCATGTCCACCCCAGGCCAAGTTCGTCTTTGCAGCCATACGTCTTACTCGCATCCATGTTGGTCGTCACCTACGAGAACCTCGATCACCAGTTGAAGCCAAAGGAAGAGGAGGAGCAGTTTAGAGAGAGAACAAGTCATAGAGAAATGAAAAACAGGACAAGCAAAATGGTCTGCGCACGTGGCTTTCTTTTTCAAATAGAGGGATGGGTGGGTTAGTTTGGTGGGGGGGGGGGGGTATGCTGTGTACATGGGCATGTAACCCGCCGTATACAATATGATATAATATAAATATGATTTATTATTCAATTTTTATTGGCTAAAGGGGAAAATATGCCCATGTACCGGTCCTGTAAGCTCAATTTAGTCCATGAACTAAAAAAAGTCCAATTCACACCTCGAACCAGCAAAAAAGGATTCAAATTTCATTTTAAGGTTACAGAACCGGTAAAAAAAAGGCCCAATTCGCATCCTAAACTATTAAAAAGTGTCAAAATTGCAATAAATCGAAAATAAAAAACAGAAATAATTAAAAAATAAAAACAAAATGACCGATTGTTTACCCGTAAATAATAAAATTTGAACCATTTTTGTCGGTTCAGGATTTGAATTGAACTTTTTTAATTTAGAGACTGAATTTAGCCTATACCACCGGTATATGTGCCTATTTGACCCTTCATTTTTTTAATAAATTAAGCGGGTGTGCGGTATATAGGGGTAGGCAAAAATACCGAAAAATCGGTATACCGCACTTATCACTTATCGTACCAAAAAATACCGGAAAATACCGGAATATTGGTATACCGTCATTTTCGATACGGTATCATACCGTACCGATTTATTTTGGCACGGTAATGGTAAATGTTTTCAAATACCGCGGTATACTGGTATAATACCGTACCGGCTTCATACCCAACAATTACTTTAAATTCTAAAATATTGTAAAAGTCCATTGCAATTTTGAAGCCCAAAATTAATACTTAGGTTGATTGCACATACTAAAATACAAAAAGAAAGGCCCAATTCCCCAAACCCGCTATAAGCTGTAAGCTTAGATTTCTACTACGTAACTTTCAAACAAATTAGCATAATGACTAATGAGTAATGTACTAATGTCCAGAAACTAGTCCATCTTGTTCCATGAGCTTGTGAGTCGTGATGGATGAGCCGCTGAGTAGCTGACGAGTGAAGACGGATACACTTATGTGACGAATGTATCTACATAGGGATCTACTTAGTCGCGGCACACAATTTTGTCTGAAAGTCTATTTCAAATATTTCTTAAAATTAAAAAATGAATAAATACACAATATCATATTAGGGATAAATGATTTTGTATCCATGTTATTTGAATAATTTTATTTATTTTTATATTCATTTAATTATATCTATATTGTTCATGTTATTTTATGAGAATGTGTTATTTTCTAATAATAATTATTGTTCAATATTGAATATGACATCAATAGATTATTAATTATATTTTGTAACATTTTAATAATGGATTAAATATATCGCTAGTAACACCGATTTAATATATTTTGTTAGTGTATGATAATTTGTTGTATTGTGAGACATGCACGGTAATTTACCGACACCGAACCGAAACTTCGGTATACCAAAAGTAATTTACCTTAACTTCGGTAAGGTAACGGTATATAAATTTTGTATACCGAAAGTTTTGGTACAGTAAAGGCAGGGCCGGCCATAGGGGGTAGGCACCTAGGCAGTGGCCTAAGACACCACTCCCAAGGGGGACATCATTCTCCTGTCCAATAGGTTTTGGTCTGAAAGCCGTCCGAACAACACCTTTAGGGGCGGTTCCCAGTGGTACGAGAGAAAATATCAACAGAAATTGGGGTTGGCTGAGAACACGGGAAAGTCAACCAGAAAACTAAACTCGACGGAACAGTACCTACCGATCGTTTGGCTAAATGCCACATTGCGCGCACATTTGCACTCGTAGCGACAGTCAAGCTAGCAGCCATGGAGGGGCTGAAAGCTTCCTCCTTTCCACAAATTCGCTTCACTGTGCACTCCCCAAGGCTTCCAGCTACCCAATTCAAAAAATCTCATTCCCGGTTTTCCTCAAAACCCTTCCCACTCCAGACAATTCACTCCAAGAAGGCAGGATTCAAGATTTTCACTACCATTTCCACTGAAACCTCGGCTGAGCCTGAGATCCCCATTGAGTCTGGAAGAGAGGACCAAACCCAAGGAGAGAGGTTTGATTGGTATGCAGAGTGGTACCCCCTGATGCCCTTGTGTGATCTTGACAAGAGAAGGCCCCACGGGAAGAAGGTTTTAGGTATTGATCTGGTGTTATGGTGGGATAGGAACGAAGGGGAGTGGAAAGTCATGGATGATGCTTGCCCTCACAGGCTGGCTCCTCTCTCTGAGGGGAGGATTGATCAGTGGGGAAGGTTGCAATGTGTCTATCATGGCTGGTGTTTTGGTGGCTCTGGTGATTGCAAGTTCATCCCTCAAGCTCCCCGGGATGGGCCTCCGGTAAAGAAATCTCTATCCCTTGATCTAAAATATTAGTTTCATGTTGATGCTATGATCTGTTGTGTTTATCATGAGAATTATTTGATAGAACCCTTGCTAGAGTTGTATAGCTACTTATGATGCTCGCTTAGAACATCAAAGAATCCTAACTAAGAGAGTCAAGAAAAAAGATGCTCCCTTTGTCCCATAAAGTATAGCTACTTATGATGCTCGCTTAGAACATCAAAAGAATCCTAACTAAGAGAGCCAAGAAAAAAGATACTCCCTTTGTCCCATAAAGTTGATTCTTTACTTATTATAGATGTATTGGCATTAGTAATTAAAATTTACATTTCAAAACTACGTAGCATCCTTAAAAACTTCCTTAGTCTTGGTGTCCCACACAAAATCACCGTTTTTTCATTTTCTCTTTGTTTGAGGACTACGAGAGAGCTGGATAAGTGGTCGAGTTGATTAGTGCATAATTAGAGCATTTTGTCACAATCCCTATCTATTTATCCTTTGTGGAGCTGTGGGCAGTTGTATGACAAGCAGAATGTACCACTAACCCTCTCACCCCTTATCTTAAGACAAGCAGAACACTCTGTTCATAAATTGTGAATCCTCCTACAAACTTTTTATCCATTTCCTCTTTTAAATTGCATACCCCATTAACAACAACCTATAACTGTTTATGGTGTTTAGAAACTAGAAAGTAATGTTTCTTGGTGTGAATAAGAATAACATTGTTCTAATGTGTGCAGATTCATACATCCAAAAGAGCATGTGTGGCTGTTTACCCTAGCTGTGTACAAAATGGCATTCTTTGGTTTTGGCCGAATGTAGATCCCCTCTATAAAGACATATTTATGAAGAAAAAGCCACCTTACATCCCTGAAATCGATGATCCTTCATATACTAAATCAATGATAGCTAGAGAAATACCATATGGGTAAGTTGATATGGATGTGCTAAATATCTTGATGAGGAACACTTAACATAAGCAACTTCTAGTATCTCTATATATTTTGAGCTGATTGTAGCTAAAATAATATTTAAAATATGTCTTAGATTTACTAAATATTTTCATGTTGATTTTCAGATTTTTCATATTATCTATTAAGTTTTATACTTTAAAAGTGTCGTTGGCCGAGTGGAAAGATCAATGCAAGTATCAATAACCGTTCCTAAAGTGTCAAGGGTTTGAAACCTTTCTCCAATTCGGGAACAGTCTCTCTGTGCTTTAGTACAGGGGTAAGGTTGTGTTCATCCGCACCCCCTTACCCCACCATAGATGGGAGCCTTTGTGGCACTGGGGGATATAGATGGTGGATGGTGCAGTAAAAATAAAACTGGCTTTAATCTGAGAAAGAATCTGGAACCCAGCCGATAACAAATCAAATACAAATCACTGCTGAAGAAATTAGACAAGACTTATTTTCTAATTTTTCAAATTTTGTTGGAAATGATAAGTTCGGATGCCCGAGTCCACATGATCAAACCCCCAAAGATCCTTAAATTTCTTTCCAATATTATTGCCAGCCAAATGAATATCTTTCAGGTACGAAGTCCTGATTGAAAACCTTATGGACCCAGCTCATGTTCACTATGCACATTACGGCATAATGAGAGTTCCAAAAACGCCTAACAGATAAGATGCTAACCAAAATACTTCTATGTGGTATACTGCTCCTTGCCTGTATATATGGGCTTGCATGTTTGACACCCAAATTTAATTTTTTCACTTTAAAGGCTGATAGAGAAGGAGGCAAGCCTGTTCAAGTCAGTATTACACAACTAGATGTCAATGGTGTCAAAGCAATGCAGGCAAGTGGGTGCAACACCTTTGCACCACCTTGTTTGTATTACGGGTATTACAGTTTTGGGGAAAGTACAACCAGCCAGTCTTCTTCTTCTTCACCAAAGGATACAGAGGTATAGACATTTAAATGTGATGTATTACACTACTTATTGTGGTCATTGTTGATGTTGACATCTAGTTTTGTGAGTTTTTCCCTCTAATATTACTAAAATTACACTCATGGAGAAAAATGTGACTAATTTTTAAATATTCCAAAAAATGACTAAATGTGTCACTTCTAGTATGTCACTTTTAGTATGTCACTGCGAGCGACACTGCTCTATTTGTCAATGTCACTTTTGGATGCTTTTTCCGGCAGGGACTGTTGGGAGGTTAGTATGGGAGAGAGAAGTAAAAATAGTGATCAAATTAGGATTTGGGATAAGTTAGTCCTGTTTTGATAACTTTTTGGAAATATTGAAAGTGGTCCTATTATAACTAGAGGTTATATTATGGTCACTCGCTTTGTATTATTTCATTTTTTCAAAGATTGCTAGCATTTATTTAAAATTAATTTATCCCAACATGCAGAAGAAACCCTTGAATGGAAAACAGAAGCAGGTTTTGTTAGTGTTCTATTGCATCCCTGTTAGCCCGGGCAATAGCAGAATAATATTTGTTTCACCGAGAAACTTCGCTGTCTGGGTTGAAAAAGTAGTGCCACGCTGGGTTTTTCATGTAGGACAGAATCTAATTTTGGACTCAGATTTGTATCTTCTTCACGTGGAGGTAAAGCCTTTTAGTGTCTTCATTACTACTCTTCATTTTATATACATTAAAAAGTCCCATTTAATTGTCTTTTGGATTTTGTAGTGGAATCGTTTATCATCTTGATTTGATATTCAACTCACTTGATTTCTTTAGTATACCTGCTACTGCCAATTTAATTGGTATGAAACATAATATTTGCCAAAAGCAAACAATCTTAGCTGCTCAATTACTCTATTGGTTTGCATGTGTAAAATTTTCTAATGCAAAGTTTTTTAGTAGAGCTGATAGGCAAATGCATCATGCATTGAATATTGTGCCTGACTACTACCATTTGTTTTTTTCCCTCCATTTGTAAGGAGCATAAACTAAAGGAGATTGGCCCATATAATTGGCACAAAACTTGTTATGTGCCAACGAAGGCGGATGCTGTGATTATTGCCTTTCGAAGGTGGTTAAACAAGTATGCAGGCGGGCAAGTTGATTGGAAAACAAAGTTTAGTGGTGCCCTTCCACAATCACCTCCCAGGGAGCAGTTGATGGACCGGTAATTTATTAGCCCAACGGAGTCCCTCCATTTCTTTACATTCATCCTTTTGGCCGTTTGGTAGCCATTCTTTGTCTTGTCTGCAGGTTATTTTTTGCTGAAGTAGCTGAAGTTGATTATTGTTGCATTTTCCATATTCCTTCTTCATTTTCTGAATAAATTATATTTATTTATTTTTTCACATTTCTGCAATTTTAGCAAATCAATCAATATCATCCACAAGCTTATCAATTTCAGGCAAAATAGTTTACCTAGATTAAGGAGTTTTTTACAGCTATAATCAAACATGAGGCACAATTTCAGCCCAATCACTTGTAACTTACAGGCTCGTTTTTTTAAACTCAAGTACTCAACTAAGGGGATTTAACAAATTTACAAATAATTGATGTTTGATTTGAAGGAAAAACCACAAGTGGTGTTGGGATTATTTTAAATTCGATAGTATTAAGCTTTTAGCGGGAAACAAAGCATAAAATTTTGCAATTGTTTTTGTCAGGTACTGGAGCCATACAATGAAATGCTCAAGCTGCAGTTCAGCATATAGAAATTTGAATGCACTGGAGGTTGCGCTGCAGGTGCTTTCCATTGCTTCCATTGGAATTGTTGCTGCATCTAAGCAGGGGTTCATGGCAGCTACAACGAGAAATGCCTTGATCGTGATGGCAGTACTATGCTTTCTGGCTTCAAAGTGGTTATCTCACTTCATTTACAAAGTTTTTCGCTTCCACGACTACGATCATGCTTTCCGCTGAAACCCGAGATCGGAACTTCCTTCTCCCTCCCAAATGCAGGTGCACTGTTTGTTATATTACTGGGTAGTTTGTATAAAGCAATATGCAGTCGAAATTTGTGCATGTGTAATTATTACGGAGTATATATTAAAGCTTTTGCGTTATAAAAAAGTTTATATTATTATTTCATGAGTTGATAGGGAGTGAGAAACTAAACTCGTGAATGGTTGTGAATACAATTTGGATGCACTTAATTCCCACACGAAATTAGGTTGACAACCTTCTCTTATAAGTGCTCGAGAAATTAGTGCCAAACTAGTTTCCATACCTTACTGAAGTACTATTTACCTCTCATTTATTGTCAAATTTTCCGATCCATTTGGTTCGGAGAGGAACACGGAAGGCCAAAGTTTAATCAATGCAATATAACATATCACTTTTTACACCAAATGTAAGTTGATTATACTAAGTTATATATTAACACGCGTAATAGTATAGTGTTCACAATCTGTGAACCTTGTTGCTCATTCAACTTCAAGCGTGACAATGTTTTTGCTACTTGCCAGATTGTAGGCATCTATGACTATCTGCGTGGTTTCATCGAAAATATTTGACAAATGACTCTTTATATACTCTTTAGATTAAATGAATGGTATTATTTTTGCCCAAGAAGGTAAAAAGATAATATAGTTAAACACTTTTGACACATTTACATTATTTATAAAAGCATTTGTGAATACAACTTTATTTGCACCAAGCATTGTTTCAGTGTTGCGTGCTTGTGTTTGAAAGTTTTTTTAATTAAAAGCAACAATGTCATTTGATTTGGAATATGAGAGCATGGTTGGACACGGTTCTTTGGTGCCACAGTATTATTAAAGCTAAATAAATTATGAATACCTAATCTCATTTATCATATAGAAAGATGTTTCATACTATATCTAAGGCTTAGATGTTTCATAAATTATTAGATTCTAAGCCCACGGTGTTTATTTTTTTTTCTTTTTAATCAATTCTTTTAGGTGAAGAAAAAATATTACTACATTCGTCCCCTGTTATTGTTCCATTGCGGTTTATGATGCTTGACTGACGATAAAGCAAACAGATCCATGTCCACACTAGAATTATTTTTAGATTTTTTTCTTTGCATATTCAGAAACTACATTGAAAGTTTTACAAAGTCGCATAAACCAGAATCAAATTTGATAAAAAATTAATAAACAAAGTAAGAGATTAAGAGTGATTTGTGTTGACCAAGTGAATAGGAAATAGGACAATAACAGGGCGGAGGGAGTACTTTATTTCTTACACACACAGACACCTTTTTGGTTTTGACATTAGTAAAAGTAAAACTTACAATCTTGTTTTTGAGTAAATAAATTTTAATTGCTCATCCTACTTTAAAATGACCAAAAAAACTTTATCCTCATTCAACTTCATCAACACTTTTTTGCGCATCCATAATTATACCCTCATTCAACTTTTATACTACTAACTAGGGAGTATTATATTTTCCTTTCCATCGGAGATGCACAAAATCAAGCCAACCGGCAAACTAACTGGGTACACCTCCGAGAAGCCTCCGGCCATTGCCACGGCATCGAGTAATGTAGCTGCAACCTCGATAATAGACTTGACTTTTCGGAACGGCTGGTTTGCAGGTTTGGTTATTCGCCAGACGATGACCGCATGGAAATTGTAAATTCATGTCCCCTAAATCTATCATCTTCCCAGCGGGGCGGTGAGCCGCCGATACATCCTCCATCCCCGCCGCAATCAGCGCCGCAATCATACATAGGGCACCGACAGTTCCTCTTACGTTAGCCATTATATATATGTCACAAATGCAGATGGTTATTCTTAATTATTCGCAGATAATATCTGTGTCTAAGCTATCTTTCAATTGTCTGCATGTGGATATACATATACAATAGTGTTATTAGAAAGGGAATGATGCATATATAAGTTTTTGTATTTCTATTCAATGGTTGGATTTTCTCAAAATTGTTGTTTGTGTGTAATGTTTTGATGTTGAGACGAAAGTAGAGGGTCAACACTCAATATTTAATGGTGTAAAAAAACATTGCATTTGAGATGGTTAATCAGAGGTCAATTAATCTGGTGGCATACTGGCATACAATTAACCTTGCATATATAAATGAAATAATCTTGTTTTAATTTGACACCTTTCTATTGGTGGGAAAACTGAACCAAAAAGCATCCTGATTAAACGGATCTCTCACATTCGCGTACAATCTTTTCCTCTCATGTTAGAATCATCAAAGATTAGCTCCGTTGTTTCTTTGGCATTTTCACGCCAAAAATAGGCGATTTGACCTAAGCCACCGATATCCAAACGGGCCCTTAATCTTTAACACCATGTTTTTGCAATACATTCTTAGGTCATAATTTTTAATTTAACATATAAACCATTATTTTTAACTTTTAAATTTTTTGTCATTAATTATTTTTTCTAAAACGAAACAATAATTAGATTTACATAATCAAGGATTTACTTATTAAGATATACTCCGTATATGAATGTGCAATTATATGAAGTTAGCACTGTTTAAACAACGTGAGGCACAAGGCGTCGACGTCAAGGCTCAAGCTTTTGAAGCCTAGACGAGAATAGGTGAAACTTAAGCGTGAAAAAGCGTTTTAGATTTCTATTGATAATTACTATTATATAGACTGATATATGAAGAAGAAAATAAATGTCCAAAATATATTATACAAGATTGAGTCTAATTTTTATTTTTTTCAATATATAAAAAATTTAAATGTATAAAAAGTGCAAATACAAAATGATATATTGTTGTTTTTTACTACTCAGTAATAGGTTCCCCTTTTCTCTTACCCGTGCCCGGAACCGGTAGACCCCCCGGGCCTAGGCCCGAACCGGAATCGGACCCGGTTTCCCGGGCCGGGCCGGTTCCCGGGCTGGGTGGCCCGCACCAAGTCCAAGCCTAAAAAACATGTTTATAAAAATATTTTATTTTTAAATTTAATCAACTTTTTCCTTTCAAAAAATATTTTATCTAAAAAACTTTCACCTTTTCACTCCTAAGCACGCCTAGCCTTACGCCTTTTCACACCTTTGGTGGTCAACTCATGAGTTAACCGCCTTTTCCACGCCTTTCTACAAAGCAAGGCGTTTCTCCACCACCTCACGCCTAGGCCCCACCGGCCCACCTTTTACAACACTGGAAGTTAGATGGGAAAAATATTGACTAGAGGTAGTGATGGACCCGAGCCGATCCGGTTCCGGGCCGGGCGGGCTTTTTTTGCAATTACTTGGGCCCGGAACCGGCCCGGGTTGATACCGGGTCCGGGCCTAACCGAACCGGGCCCGGTTCCATGTTTACTTTTTTTTTTGCCTTTCTTGTTATCCCCCGACCCCCCCCCCACCCCCTACCCCCAAACCTCCCCAAAACGCCCAGCCCTACCCTAGGAAAAGAAAAAAAATTGAAAAAACAAAAAAAGAAAAATTTTAACCGGGCCCAGCCCGAACCGCCCAGGCCGGTTCAACAAAAGTTGGGCCTGAGCCTGACCCGCCCGACCCGCCCAAACGGGCTAAAAGCCCGGAACCGGCCAACCGGTCCCGGTTCGGGCCCACACAGTAGCAGGCCGGGCCGGTTCCGGACCGGTTTAGTCCATCCCTAACTGGACTACTGGGGGTGTAAAAAGTGAAAATCATCAAAACTTGAGTGGAAGCTAACTCTGACAGTCTGACTTGTCGTTTGGTACTATGTCTATATATTTCACGGATCAGTGTAATAAATGCTTGACAATAGAACGTCAAGTATTTAATCAAATGTGCATAAGTTTTTCACAGATCCATGTCTAATGAATACTTGGTAAGAATTAAAATGAATTCTATTTAATGGTAAATGCAAAATAATTATAATGATGCTCTTTAATGAGATGTGCATCGATCTATAAAAAGAAAGTCGGAGGCGGGAAGGATTATCCCTTGTAAATAATATTATTAGTCACTCTAGATGTTTGGCAGACCAGTCACTCTAAGCCCTGAATAAGAAACATAAAATAGTGTTATTATGACCGGGAAAGCAAGAGATTTGACTCTAGCATACACATTAAAAGAGGGTTTCAAAAAATATAAGGAGAACAAATGCACTCACTTGTACATATAAGTGTTGTCAGTGGTGTTGACTACTATCCTGTCCCCTGATAAAATGTGTCCTGGCACCTAGATAAGAACATAAGGCAAAGATGGTGTGTAAATGGTAAAACACAGTCAAATAACATTGTAAGATTACGCAGTCTGGAGTAAAAGCAGTTGGCATTAATATTAAAGATCTATTTCGTTTTTCTGTGAGAACTAATAATATGATCTTCAACTCACCATGATAGTAAGACCATTGTCCAAAACAACCCTCTTGTACCTGAGGGAACAGAGTGAATTAGTTTGCAAGTGCCAAGTGTTGATCTACTTAATCAGCTTATGGATTTCACTACTTAAGAACTTACTGAGGAGTAACTGAAGCACCCTTCACTTGAATTTGAGCTTCAGCTACGGTGCATGTTACACGTGAAGGAATCGATGCTGACATCGGCCTTTCATCATACAGCTGCACACTAACTTTCATATCATCTGATTCACCACACATTTATGATCAAGTGAAGAGAATTATCAAATAATAACTCAGAGAGTCATCGGGTAATTTAAGGTGGGATTACCTTAAGATCCTATGGAGTAGGAAAAAACTTTAATCATAGGTTATCCCCAAGTTTGGGCATATAGATGTAATTTCAGTTTTGCAGTACACAAGTAGACAATGACAGAATAACTGCAAAACTCTGACGACATACCTATATTTTAATAAGCTTTTCATCCGGCATCTTCATAAGCTTCGGTGGGGTAAGGGGGGTCGGATGTATGCAGTCTTACCCTTAGTTTAAAAAAGGCGCGAGGCGCCCTAAGGCGAACACTTTATCGCATCTTCAACCCCCAGGCGGCGTAGGTTCCAAGAGGCGCGCCTTATACGACGCTTTTTGACGCCTTTTGCGCCTCTGAGAGGCGCGCGCTTCTCACGCCTCATGGATGTCTCTCTAGTCTTCTTCCTTATTCCTTCTTCTCCCTTCTTCCTTCTACGTTTGCTTTGCTTCCGAGTTCCCACATCTGCTGTCCCGTTTCTTCCGCTACTTTCTTCCGCTACTTTCTCGCGTCGCAGGACTCGCAGAGTAGTCGCAGGTAGGTATTAATTTCTTCTCTTCTACAGTTTCTTTTATACGTATATAGTTTATTAATTAAGTTTAAGTATGTATTATATTATATTTTATTACCTTGAAATTGTAGTGTTACTACCTCTGTTGGTCTGTTCTAGATCATGCTGAGTACCAAATATTTGATTTTGTTTAACAATTTTTTATATAACATCTTATTAATTTTGTTTTGAAATTTTAAAATTGAGTTTTGTGACTTGACTTTTGCAATGATGCCGTTTGATATTTATTTCTTGCTACTGTCTTAATAAATATTTGGTTTCTCTTATGATGTATGTTAAGATTGTTTAATAGTTTGAAGTATTTTTGTGATCTTATCATTTTTTGAGATGAGTGCTTCATGTAGAAGACTAGAAATAGTATAAATATATCTTACCAAAGATATGATGTTAAGAACCGTGAGGCGCGCGCCTCGCGTCTCGGTAAATCAATGAAAACGTCTTGCGCCGCCTCACGCCTTTTAAAACTAAGGTCTTACCCCTATACTAAAGCACAGAGAGACTGTTTCCGAATGACTCATAGTGAAAATTGCGTCCAAAATTGAAGGGATTGATTGCTGCTTCATAACAAAGAAGCGCAGACAGTTTAGTGAGGCATTTTACTTTATTCCATCATAATCTCAAGCCAAAAAATAGTGAATCTTTGGCTCCATTGCAAATGATGGAAAAATATAATCAATTAAGTGGGTGAAAAAAAATTATTACTTCAAATAATGTAATAATATAATAAAAGTTCAAATTTATCTATAGCTTATAATTTTTTTGAAAATACACTCTTGAAATTGAGATGTACAAACAAAATACTTATTCTTTTAATCTGAACTTCTCAAGATTTATTACAAACCTTCATCATGTAACAATCATCAAGAGCTTCATTTTCTTCCATATCAGTCTTAATTATTCAATCGAGTCTTATTGCAAAAATACACAATTACACATATGACATTCCCTTTCTTGATCTAATGTTGCATTTTCTAACTTGCATTCTAGAGTTTAAGAGTGTTCAATCTTTTAGGAAAATTAATGTTTTAATTGTACTAGGATTCAGCCTAGATCTTGTCTCAAAAACTATACGGTGCTACTGTTATTTTATGATACTAATTATGAATTTAATGTATAATTATTTAATAAGTAGTGTAAAAAATTGACTTCAGGGCTGGGCCATAATGGGTCATGACGGGCGGGGCCAATGGGCTGGATCAAGATTCAAAGACGCCACCACATGCTCTCCCCTTCAAATAGTGAATTGGGCTGCCTCTAGACCATATGGCCAGACCGAGATTTTTAACACATGGGATGGGCAAGCCACGCGGGCTCACGAGCCCCCAGGTTAAATGATGATTGCTAACCTAAAGACTTAAGTCTCAAAATGCATAAGTAAGGCTTTCATCTCCAATTTGTAGAGGTGACAATGCGTTTAGTCGCAGAAAGGCGTAATCCTCCATCTTCACCTGTTTAGGCTGGTTTTTTTACACGTTTGGAACTTAACTTAATTTTGTTTTTTAAATTATCCACCTAAAGTTCTAAAATATGGAGTAACTCTTACTAAACACACAAGCAAGTCGTCATTCATCGAAAATCCTAGAAATTAACTTTAAACTAACTAACTTATAACTTACACTTTAAAGTTATAAGTTAGTTTAACTTATATAATTTGAGAATTTTTACCTAGCTGCTTGCATGCTATAATTTTTAGCCATGATTGGCAGTTCAAAATTGTAAAGTTAATTACAATTTGATTAAAAATACGTAACAAACTTCATTGCAGATTTGTCAAAATTATTAGTTTATTGCTGGCGGATGACCCCGCTCTTTTGCATTATTACTTCATTGCTCGGTTACACCTCAAAATTATTAGTTTATTACCATTGATTATCAATTATTAGATAAATTTTACTTAAGTTCATATAAAGAATCATTTTATGCAAAAGGGTGGGGTCATCCGCCAACAAAAAGTAGAGGTGTCTACGAGCTGAACTCAAACAAGGGCCTGTTCGAGCTGTGACTTGAGCCCAATAAGAATGTAATGGCTCAAGCTCAATAAAAATGTAAGAGCTCGAGCTCGATAAGAATATAATGGCTCAAGCTCAAGCTTGATAAGAATGTAATGACTCAAGATCAATAAGAATGTAAGAGCTCGAGCTCGGAAGACTATTAATTTTGGCTCATGGTCGATTCGGGTTCGGTTCATGTTTTGCTCATTAGCTTTTATAGGTTCAAGCTCGAATATGCTTGAACTTGTACCCAACAGGCTAAAATAATTTTTTTTTTTAAATTAAATAAATAAATAATATGTGTGTGTGTTTGCATATATACACACATACATACATATATAAATTTATTTATTTATTTATATATGTTATTATATGACTCGCGAGCCGAAGCTAAGAGGAATTAAGCTAGCGCCAGCGCCTGAGGAAAAGTTGAGAGCTTCTCTCTCCTGGGATTTTCTTCTCCCAGCTCTTTTCCGACATGGAGTTCATGGAGTTCATGGTTGGTTTATTGGATTATGATTTTTATTAAACTGTGTTTTCTTTGTTCGGATTTCTCCTAGAATTCCGTATATGTGCTTGGATTTGATTTTACGCGCTGAGAGAAGGCCAGGAAACCTATTTGGGAACCTATTGTGCGCTGATATTACTGTTCACGATTCGTGTTTTCAGTTTCGATTACAGTCTGTTACATGTAATTTTAGCTGATTCTCAGTCGAAATTAGCATCTGATAGCGTTTCTGTCCTTGGATTTGTTGTTCGATTGAGGTTTTTGGCTGCGATTTTATATTTCTGGATTTTCTGAGCTCATCGACGTCCCTGTTTCTGAGCGACGAAAATTGGCAGTGGTCTGTTGTTGTTACGCACAAATTGCTGTAGGTTTACGCAAGGAATTTTTTGTTTTCCTGCTGTTTGTTTGAAACCGGCGAACTGCAGTTATGGGTAAAATGAAACAGAGTAAGGGTGAGTCTTCAGCCAGAATCACCAGGTCACGAGCTGGCTTTGACCTACTGGAGGGTCTTGCGGATGATTTTCCTTTGCTAGGAACTGGATATGCTGCAAAAAATCCTGGGAAATCTGCTACTAAAGATGCTTGTAAAAAAATTGCAGAAAAAGCTGGACAGAACTTTGAGGGTGTAAATTCATCTGCCAATAGCACAAGGGAGAAAGAATTGGGGCAGCCAGAACCCCTAATTGTAGCAGAACTAATACCAAAAACTATTGAACTTCCTGGTGCTGGGCAGACTCCTGGGACTGTCCCAAACTGTGAGGAAAATGGTGCTGGGCAACCTGTCCAAACTTTGGCAGTAACTAATGCCACTAAACCATGGAACTCATTGTTTAAGGATAACCGGGATCCAACACATGGTATTAAATTGAAATATGTCCCACCTAAGGGGGAAATTTTGGACTTTGGTGGCCGGGAATTACCCTCTATGATAGAAATGTGGGGCTATTGTCTTGTGGGACACTTCACCGGAAGATTTCCCGGACTCAAAGCGGTTCACGATTTGAAGGCAACATGGGGAGTGAAATGCCTTGTGAGATCCCACGATAAGGAGTGGGTCATCTTCAAATTCCAAAATGAAGTGGATAGAACTAAGGTACTACATGAGGGTCCTTACATGGTTTTTGGGAAACTTCTAATGCTCAAAGAGCTCTCCGATGATTTCTCTTTTGAAGATGCGGAATTTCTTAAGGTACCTATTTGGATCAAGTTTCCTAAGCTACCAATGAAGCTATGGAATGATGAGGCTATGAGTGAGGTGGCATCTATGGTTGGGATCCCTATTACCACGGACAAGATCACCCAAGAAAGGACTAATAATGACTATGCTAGAGTGCTCATTGAGGTTGATGTTTCAATGCCGCCACCACTATCTTTTCCCATTCGACTACCTTCCCGAAAGGTATTCAAACAAAATGTGGTTTATGAGACTTTCCCTAATTTTTGCTTTCATTGCAAACAATATGGGCACAACCCATTTATTTGTAAAATTCTAGCAAAAAGAGGTGATGGGGAAATAAACAAGGACAAATTAGTTGATGAAAGCCATAGCATAGTGGGAAACATAGGGAAAGATAAGGGAGCTGCAAACTGTTTGAGGGCTGCCTCGCCAATTTTGACTGTCCAGGGGGGTAACCCAACCGGGTCTCGCAAGCAGGAAACTGCCCAGGGGGCTGGAAAGGTTGCGGAAGTTGCTGCCACTGATGCTCTACCTGTCCAGGAGCCTGCCGATGGTGTGACAACTGTGAAGAATATGCAGGAAACTGCCCAGGGGGCTGGAAACGCTGCAGAACTTGCTGCCATGGATATACAATCTAACCAGGCTGGTGGGCAGTTTGTTAACCAGGGGGCATCTGCCGTGATTAAATTAGCTGACCAGGGACCTTCTTTGGATGTTGGCGAGAGGATCGTCATGGAAAAAAAGGATGTGAAGCTAGATGATGTTGTTATAAAATGTGAGGTGATAAACGGCAAAACACTCAAGTTGGTTGTCAAACCGTTTAAATCCGTGCATGCTAATGTGATTCGAGTGGACAATTTCCTTCGACTAACGGATGATTTGAATAGAAAGGGTCTCACTTTTACTGTTGAATGTCTTGAGGGCTTGCCGGGTGTTACAAAGAAGAAAGGGGAGGTTCGCTTTGATTCAAAGTTCACTAAACCTTTCCGATTTTTCCTGAGTTGTCAAAATAGGGAAACCTAATATTTTGTTGATGTTGCTTTCTTTAAGCTTATTATTGCTCCTAGTTTTCTAGGATTAATATGCTGATGTGGGAGGACTTTTGTTTTTGAATTTGTGGTATCCCACACACGGGGATATGCACTTTGGTTGTAACATTTCTTTTGGTGTTAATATATATTTTACATTTCACCAAAAAAAAAAGAGGAATTAAGCTCGTGCTCGGCTCGACTGCTTAACGAGCCGAATCGTGAGCTAAAAGATTCAGAATTAAGCTCGAGTTCGGCTCGAGCTTAATGGATATGTTATGATATATGGTAATTTAATGCTTCGAAGCAGGATTCTTTTTAGAACTAGATCCCTCTCCTTGATTCTTATTGGATTCAATCATTGTGTATGGTTATGTGGTGATTGATGAACCCGCTTATGTGCATAAAATTACTTTTTATATGAACTTAAATGAACTAATCAAACCAAACTATCTAATATTTGATAATATAATGATTTTAATTACATTGTAATGAAGTAAACTACAATATTTTTAATCAAATTGTAATCTTGTAAACTAATAATTTTAATCAAATTGTATTCAACTATACAATTTAAAGCTGCTAATCATGGCTAAAATTACATCATGTAAGCAACAGCTAAAAAACTCAATATTCTTACAGCTTAATTAAAAAACCTGTAACCTTGCTTTTAATTGTAATTCAAATTTTAAAAAAGACAAGCTCACAAGAGTTGGAATAAAATTCTCATATCCAAATTCGACTCATCCGGGTTTAAAAAGTTAAGCTAAATGATAACTTCAAAATGTAAGTTAGTGGCTTGATAGTATAAATATCGAGAAAAGGGTCAGATAGGGCCTCGAACTTACAAAAAATGTCAAATAAGGCCTTATAAAGGAGGTTATGTCCGGCCGACGCCATTTGAGGCGGTTCCCGGTGGAATTTTTCGATGAAATTTTGTGAGAATCTTATTCATTAAGTCTAGTTTACTCATACCAAATTTCAGCTAAAACTTCAATCGGGAAGGCATTCAAATAAATTCTTGAAGATAACTGCGCTTTTAACTGCACACTTATCTTCAAGAATTTATTTGAATGCCTTCCCGATTGAAGTTTTAGCTGAAAATTGGTATGAGTCAACTAGACTTAATGAATAAGATGCTTAAAAAGTTTCATTGAAAAATTCCACCGGGAACCGCCCCAAATGGCGTCGGCCGGACAGAACCTCCTATATAAGGCCTTATTTGACATTTTTGTGTAAGTTTGAGGCCCTATCTGACCCTTTTCCCTATAAATATCTAAAAGTTTTGAATCATTAAAAAGTTTCTAGTAAATAAACAATTATAATAAAATGCAAAAGCAAAGGATAAGATAAATACCCGAAGAGAGAATATTGGATGTCTGGTCGTGTATTAGGAAGAAAGTGGAGAACAAAGAAGGTAAGACCTAGGGTTGTCGACAAACGATTGCTCGTGTGTTTTAGTAAGATGTACTTTGAACTATAGAACTTTAGGAGAAAAAATAAAAACTTAATCTCGAGGCGTAAACGTATAAAAAATCAGCCCAAACAATTGAAGTACATTTGAAGTTAGAGTCGTACGCCTTGTCTGCCACTTGCGCCCTGCACCTAAATACATGGTCACCTCAGCAAATTGGAGGCGTTAGGGTTACTTTTGCAGATCAATGCTTAAGCCTTTAGGCGATTCATCGACACCTTTGCACCTCAGAGGCACATACCCTGCCTGCCTTTCACCTTTCAAAACCATGTCTCAAGGATCTCATAATAAGGTTTCTTCCTGATTCTTGCCCATCAATCCATCATATTTTGAGTACAAAATATTACTTCCTCTATCCCGTAATTTAGTTTCTACTTTGACTTCACGAATTTGACAAAGTAACTTTTTTTAGTTTCCAAGTATGTCCTTTTAAAGTATGATGGAGAAAATTAATGATGCACTTTCCTTAGGGGTAAAATGATATTTTACCACTCAAATATTACCAAAAAGAGAAGTATGAACCTGATTTCGGGATATCCAGAAAAGGAAAATGAGAACTTAATTGCAGGGCGGAAGGAGTACATAGGAGAATGATGAAATATATGTGTCAAATAAATATGTAATTTCATTACCTTGAAGGTAGACATAAGAATCACCAAACAGATGTTGTGGTACATCCAGCTGTGCATATGTATCAGGTCTAGTCGATAATATAATGACAATCAGATATTTAGAAGTATGTTCAACGGTGCACTAGCCTGCTTCCAGTAGTCAGATAAAATCATAAAATCACAAAGAATACTCACTCCATTAGCACAATATTTCCAGTTTCATCATCAGTATAAAGGTATGTATAAGTCTTTTCGGCAGCAAATACCCCTGCACACATAAACACCATTAATATAAATTTGAAATTAACCATAGAAAATGATTTGGAAAATGGGCCACTCCAAGTCAGCCGGGCGCTTAGGTCATCCTTCATTAGCACACAAGCTTGACATCACTTACAAACTCCATATATATAGATTGAGTTTGAGTTCTGGATGAGAAGTGTTAGAAAGCATTATTTGAACACAAAACAATATGTGAATACCTTCTGGTATGTTTAGACACCTTCATAAATTACTTACGGCATGGAAAAAAACGCAACTTATGTAGCGGATCCAAAAAAGGTTGGGGTTAAGCATTAGGGTTTGGGAGATATTATGTGATGTAGAAAGTATGACAATCCTACGAACAAACCAACTTAGAATCAAAATGTCAAAAGCTGAAGATACATACTCTCAATTGCCTCATCAGTACGGAATCTCTCATTCACTTTGGTTCCACTATCAACGTCCCGCAGCTCTACCTAGAATATATCATGGTGACACAACACATGTTCAGATTAAATTCAAGGGTTACTTACTAAGTTACTAGTGCACCCCTTCAGGTGTCGTATTTTGAAAAGCCAACTAGTTACCATCTATGTTTGGTCAGATTAGTTAGTCCAGCACTGACTTTTGATAAAGAGTATTTTTTAATGTGTGACCATGGGCACGTGATAAGGAACAATGAAAGGATTTGATAATTTCAAGGAAAAAATAGATGTGTTCTACATATAGTATAAAAGACTTAAATTATTACATATACATTTAAATCAACTAATGTGGACGGTGATTAAAATATTAGGATCCTCAAGGACCTCAATCCAATTTAACGGTCTTATCATGTCCACCCTCCTAAACATCCCAAGTAGGACCCTGATCCTGAAAACCTTGGTTAGCTGTTTACCACCTCAACTTTGGTTCTGTTAGCAGCTACCCCACTCTTAGTTTTCAAGTTTATTGTTTCACATGTTTCCTTTTCTTTTCTTTTTTAAATGAAATGCTTCTTGTAAAACCAAGAATGCCATTAGTTTTCCTGCTATATACTCCATCCATCCCCAAATTAGGTTTGTATTTGCTTTTGGGCACTTATTAAGAAAGTGAAACTGTGCAATTTAAATTAATTGAGAAAGATTCATAAATGGCAAGGTTTAAAAAGGTGCACCAGAGGAGCGATTTAAGGCGTGTCTCACCGGTACACGTTCAAAATAGGTGTTGAGGGTTACACCATTCTTGAAGTAATTTCTCATATTTTCCTGTCTTCATGTTCCCTTTTTTCTCCCTCCTCCCCTTCTCCTCTGGTTGGTCATGCTTTCCTACCACTGGTCAAATTTCTCCTGTACTTTTTCTATTTTCAGATGCGGTGCTGATAACTGAATAATGAATCCTAAATTCCTGATTAGTTTTAATTGTTGTTTATATGTAGTTTCAAGTTTAGTAAGAGAAACTAATATAAGAAAATATGACATCCAAAATGTTTGCCAATCCAAGCCATACATTAAATTTCAAAAGAAAAATATCATATGTTCACAAATTTCCTATTAAACAATAACCTAGTGTTGAGAGCTTAAACTCCTTAACATGTATCAAGTTAGGACTTTAGATATTGATGTAAGGGCTAAATACAACTCAAAAGAGGGTTGATTGACACTGGAGTTACAATGATGTCTAATGGTTGGGAGGATACTTACGCAAAGAAATTTGATTAAATTTCTTGTCAATAGTCCAATCTTGTCAGTAATCCCAGTTGCACTGCTTTCTTCAAAAGTATGGATGCATCTGAGCACGTCAAAGGTTCAAAGCTAATCTGTAAGTTGTTTGGTAATATTGACGAGACATCTGAGAAGATATTCTTGTCCAAATTGAAACAGATAACGCAAGCAACTACAGGGCAGCAGCGGATATATAAATGAAGAAAAACTACGCCTATATCAGACACCATTTGCTTCCCAACTACGCTTGTGTTTTAATCAAACCAACCAACCTCCATTAGGTTTGCCCCTACATTTTTCCTTTGTGGAGTATTTATCAGCAGAGCAAACCATTCGAGTCTATGTTTACTCATGAGCAGTTGATGGGATTTAGTTGGGCAATCACATCGGAAGGGAAAGGATTAAGGAATATGACTACAACAACATCCAAGCCTTATTCCCAAAAGATTTTGGGGTTGGCTAAAATGAATCGATTCATGATAACATTAAGGAATATGATTACAAAGGATAATTAATCGTACAAGTATGACCAATGCTATCAAAACTAAAAACCCTTGGTTGAGGTGTTGATAAAAGTTGATTCTAAAAAGAACAAGCAATGGGTTACCTCTAAAATGTTATGGATGTGGCAAATAGAGTGGTAACTGAGGATTTGGATAGGGAAATATGGGATATTATCGATGAGAAATGTGATTTCCAAATCCATAGCTAAAAGACGCAACTTGGGCAGTCAACTATTTATTTCCATTGCAGCTATGCAGATGATTTTTCTACTCATCCTGTCGTTAGACATGGATTGTTTTATACTTTTATTGTCTGTACCGACTCATACCTACGAGAGAGGATAGGGAGAAAGCTGACCTCGAGAGAAGTCACGGACTTCCCCCTTCCCCTGCGCTCTTACTGCGCTAGTGCGCTCTTCCAGCCACGAGCAAGAAGAGGAGTAACCCTGGCAGGCAGGTTACCACCTCACCCGGGTACCTTGCTACCCCAAGTCGCCCCTGGACCCGTTCTCAGTCCCAGAACCCTAACACCATCACCTTTTGTTATTGTTAACTAGAATCTCAGGGTTATTGTGCACAGTGTCCAAACTATATATAGAACACTAATGATCACAGTTGTCTCATAACGAATGCTATGTAATAATAACATTAAGTAATGGCACCATAATTAACTCAAATGAAAATGAAATGATATATAATAAAGCACACTTACTTATTATGGTGGCAATTAAAATCATTACAAACCTTTTACATATGAAAACTAATATCTAGTAGTATTATTTGGAATTTTAATAGACCTTTTCTTTTCTTCAAAAACAAAAGAATGAGAAACATGGCATAAAGTGATAATGATATGTGAGGGAGGGGTATTTGTTTTAGTCAAAGTTAAGGGCAAGTAGTTGAGTTATACAATATAGCATTGGATTAGTTAATCCTACCAAACCTGAGGGGTAATGGTGTTACTTTTCCAAAAACAAGGTTGGAGGCTGGACTACAAAATTTGACCAAACATGAGTAGACCAGTAGTAATGCACTCACAGTAATTCGATCCATAATCTTACTAATTCATAAAATCAATAGTATGTTAACAATTACAACTAGACCATTACCTGAACAATAGCTCCTCCTCTTCCTTGTGAAGTATGTTGAGCCTTCACCACCTGTGTCATTTTCCATTGCCAAAGTGAATTGTGTTTGATGTACAGACCAACATAACATATAACAGTAATTTGATTTTTCAAAATAACCACTTTTTAAACAAAATGTTTACCTGATAAATCTTTCCTTAAGTATATGAAGGAGTTAAAGTTTGCCATCACCATTAAGCAACATGTTAGTCTTGTGCAAAAGATGGTATTCAAAAATTTATTATTGTTTCAACAAAACCTAACCTTTTCTCTGAATAACATTCCCTGGCTTCACCTACAAAAAACAAGTAGAGTAAACATCATCAAAATTGGAATTTCGCTTCCCACCCCATTAAGCAAAAAGAAGATGTATGATTCAAGGTGGATATAAAAAGCAGTATTGTATAGTGAGCACTATACAGTCCACGCGTGACCAAATATCATCAGTTTCTTTAAATGCTCGGCACTCGGCAGTATAATTCCATATTTACATGTAAACATTATGGAAGATACATCTTCTCATTGACAACAAATTACAAACAGATTTTTTAAAGTCGCCACTAAAGCAGTAGCAAATGCACATGAGTATGTAATTGACACTGGAAGCGGGACTTACATCGGCACCGTTCAATTTAAAGCCTCTATATTGGGCTGTGGACCACGGATATTTGAGAAGTCGGTGAAAATTTACTTTGAGATCAACTAGGGAGTGGATCGATGGCGATGAATGAATGCTGGTGGAAAGAGCTGAGGATATAACATTGCGGGGAGCGAAGCAAAGCGCTCGGCGGAGTTGGCTCATAGTGTGTTGCATTGTACTCGTAATCAGCAAGATTTGGGTGTGTGTTAAATAAAAATTCTAGATGTAGTGACACCTTAGTTCGTCCAAAATTTGGAATCTCCCACACTTCTGTGTCTCCCCTGCCCGACAGGATGTTAAATCTTATACAAGTGCGCGCTAGAGGTCCAGCTTTATTTCAGATTCTGTAACATCCACACGGTTGCTGCGAGTTTCGAACATTGATCGCTTGATCCAATTTTTCCACCACTCAACCAACTGAGCTATCCATGCGGGTTTCAGTTAAAATAATGTCTATGAACTTTTTTGTCTATGTATCTGGTTCACAGACAAAATATTGTTTGTGCAAAATTTGGACAAACAAAATTTTGACTTATTTTGTTTGTAAACGAAATTCACAGACAAAAACAGTCTTACACAAAGTTATAAGGATGAATATAAATATCTTTTTCCACATTCTATACGATCAAATACTACGCAGTATGTACGAAGTATAATTGGGTGGGAATAGTTACCAAGTTGATCTTATCAACTTTGTTGAGCGCTAGATTCTCACCCGTTTGTTGCACGGAATATAGTTTAATATAGTGATGCAATGTTGTTTATTTACATTAACAGTAATGCCAAAGAATTATATAATTATAATGTGTAAATGAGTGAAAAAAGATAGAGGTATACAATAAACACTTCTATAATAAATGGTTATCCCTGCGCCGCATCCATTCTCCGTACACAAAGGACCTTCATTGGGTGTCATCTGACCTTTGGATCTTTTATCGCGGCTGAAATCATGAAATCAACGCTATCTGGTTAAATACTTCCATATCCTACCTTTGGATCTTCTATGGTGGCTGAAGACATTTCTACGGTGGCTAAAATAATTCTTTATCAAACCATTGAAATTTCTCAGACCATGTTTGATAAGCGTTTTATTAACGTATTTTTATACAACAAGTTATAAACGCTTTTATAATTAAAAGAATAAAACTCTCACACATATGCCTCGTTTTGCTAGAAATACTATAATTGACAATTGGATCAAATACGATGATGAAAAGACACACGAAAGATTTTGACAAGAGAAGGTCAACCAAACGCATCCCGAGGAACAAAAGAAGGAAAGGAAAATACACCAAAGGGGTGAAAGTCGTCCGGCTTTCACCTAAGCCGCCCGGTTTTCACTCGCAAACCAACCAATTGCCGTCCGAAGATGAAGAAAGTGCTCCGGATCCAAAGAAGACGAAAGTCGTCCGGCTTTGGGCGCCGTAGAATTATTTCAATAAAACCAGCCAAAAGCCGCCCGGCATTTGGCTAAAGCCGCCCGACTTTCGACCCCTAGAGCGGAGATGATTATTTTAAACGCGCGAAAGCCGCCCGACTTTCGCAATTGTCGCCCGCCTTTCGTCTGGAACTGATTAGAACAAGCAACGGTCATCATAATCATTCGGGAGAAACTCCAAACCTCATTAAGGAGCTTGCTTCCTTGTCCAAAAATGATCGTTGAGGATTCATTATTTAAGAGGATTGAAGCCCTTTCAACAAGATATTCCATATTCCATACACTTTACTTCCATTTTAGCACTCCAAGATCAACCCCTTGGTCTTGGGAGAAGTTCTACACTTGGGGATTCCATTGTCCACCATAGCTTTGGAGTTGTGGTAATACTTTCTTATGTATTTCATTGTATTTTATCATTTCAATATTTGTAATTTCATCATGAATTGTTCTAGTTAATTTTCTATAGCCAAGGTTAGGGATGAAACTTTACGCACTCTAGGTGTTTGATGTATGTTCTCAACCAAATTATTATGATATTTCCTTTATATTTTAATGTGTATGACTACGGTGTACAACATATGATTATATCGTTGGGTTTATTTGAGCAATTAACGTTGAGTTAAAAACCGTGCACTTAAAGGTTTAGACATATTGTAATTGTGGATAGAAATATACCTTAATTGAATATGGTGGATTTTATAACGTCCTAATCTTCAATGGGGTTAATTTTAGATGAATGTGAACTGTGACGGGATTCACACGTAGAATTAATCACAATCTCGCTGCCGTAACAGGAATTAGAATACTTTAGTGACATTCCACTCATAAGAATTGGTGAAAGAACATATATTCATTAATATGAGTCGTTTAGGAGTAATCTCGAACCCTTGGTTGCTTTTATTATCACTTAAAAACCAAAAATCTATACTCTTCTACTAAGTCTTTTACAATTTCTATTCTCAACTTTTGAATCATATAAACAATGTTTCCTCGTGTTTGACCCGATATTTCTACCGGATTTTATTACTACATTGGCACTTGTACACTTGCAAGTTTAAGCCGATCAAGTTTTTGGCGCCGTTGCCGGGGAAACGGTTTTGTTTTATACGATTCAACAAAAATTCCTGATTTTTTTCCTTTACGTTTCACTTGGTATTATTTTGAATTTTGTTGTGTAGACAAGCTCTTAGTGCATGCTATTGAGAAGTCAAGGCTCTACAAACCTTGAACCTATCAATCTTGAAATTGAGAGAGCTTGTAGAAGGAATCGGAAGAAGGGAGCAAAAGTACCAACAATGCTTCCCGCACTTCCCACTCTCAATGAAAGGAAGAGGCCCATCATTGCAACTACTCCTTCTTGCATCGTGCTTAGCGAGGCGGCACGAGACTATGAGTTGCGGAATAGCTACTTCAACGCTATGCCGCACTTTTATGGACAACCGGGGGAGAATCCATTAAATGTCATCATTGAATTTTATGGGTTCATTCAAGGTGTTCCAAGGAATGGCCTAAGTGAAGGTGATCTTAGGCTCAAGTGCTTCCCTTACATCTTGAAGGGAGCGACAAGAGGGTGGTTTCTAGAGCAAGCACCGGCATCTTATACTACTTGTGATGAAATATACAATGTGTTCATCTCCAAGTACTACACACCAACAATGACACAAGAACTAAGGCAACGAATCTTCAACTTCAAACAACAAGTTGGAGAACTCTTTCAAGACGCATGGAGGCGTTTCAAGTCTTTGTTGAAGGAATGTCCACATCACCGTATTCCTCTCGACCTTCAAATAGACACTTTTTACAATGGCTTGAACCCATCTTGTCAAGCTATTGTAGACAACCGAGCGGAGGGATACATCGGCAACAAAACCGAGACGGGAGTTTTTAGGATTCTTGAGTCCATTGCCTCAAATCCTCAACTTCAAGGAGGAGACATCAAGGTAGCGGGAGTGAATGAAATCTCTATCACTCATGAACTTGATAAGAGGTTTGAAGAATTTCAAACCAAAATTCAACAAAATCTACAAGCATCAATTCGTACGGCCTTACAAGCTATTATTGGAGGGGCTAAACAAGTGGCCAATGTGGAAGGTAACTCCTCACAACATCTTGAGGATGTTAGTTACATGAATTCCTATGGTAACCGGGCAAATCAAGGAGGAAATAATTTTTCCAACAACAATCAACAACGGTATAACTAAGGAAACAATTGGAAGCCACAAGGGAGCTCTTCAAACCCTCAACCCGGAGCTCCCAAATTTGGGCAATCACAATAATCTACTATGGAAGAGATGATGAAGCTTCTCGCCAAAAATGTGGCTAGCATCAAAACCCAAAATGAAGAAAATCATAATAGAATGAAGGCATCCATTGGGAATCTCCACAATCAATTTACCAAACTTGACATGCGGTTTGAAGATCAAAACCGGAAGCTAAATCAACGCATGGACAATATTGAGCAATATACCAAGTCCTCTATTCATAACTTGGAAGTTCAAATTGGTCAACTAGCTCAAGAAAGGACCACTAGGGAGCATGGTAGATTTCCTACTACAATGGAGATCAATCCAAAGGAGAATGTTATGGCTATCACTTTAAGAAGTGGTAAACAAATGGAGGGACTGACAATTCAAGAAGAGTCCACGGAGAAACAAGGAGATGAAGAGCTAGAGGAGCATGTCTCACCACCACCATCCATGGCGGCTTATGTTCCCCCAATTCCTTACCCACAAAGGTTGAAGAAGAAAGATGATAGCAAACAATACAAAAAGTTCCTAGACACCTTCACCAAGTTGAGCATAAATATTCCCTTTGCCGAGGCTATTGCGGAGATCCCCGCTTATGCAAAATTTTTAAAGAACATTCTTAGCAACAAGAAGAAGTTGACGGATTTTGCAACCGTAGAACTCACGGAGGAGTGTAGTGCTATTCTCCAAAATAAATTACCTCTAAAATTGAAGGATCCCGAGAGCTTCACCGTTCCTTGTTCTATTAGAAGCCTAGGGGAGGTAAAATCCCTATGTGATCTTGGAGCTAGCATTAATCTTATGCCACATTCTCTATTCAAGAAACTAGGTGTGGGGGAGCTTCAACCCACAACTATAGCTCTACAATTGGCGGATAGAACCATCCGTTATCCTATTGGGGTAATGGAGGATGTTCTTGTGAAGGTTGGAAAATTTTATTTTCCGGTGGATTTTCTTGTTCTAGAGATGAAGGAGATGGAAATTACGGTGATTCTTGGAAGGCCTTTCTTGGCCACGGCGGCTGCACTTATTGATGTAAAGAACGGTGTTGTGAAATTTCGCGTTGGAGAGGAAGAGCAAGAATTCCATATTTGGGATTCCTTGAAGAAGCACCATGATGATTCTACATGTTTTAGTATCAATATTTTTGATACTTTGACACAAGATGTTTTTGAGAGGGAGATACATGAAGATCCTCTTGAGGCATGCATCTTGCTAGGATGCACCGAAGATGAAGAAATTCCTGCACTTTTTGAGGAAGTGATGTACCTTCAAGTCGGAGGTCCCTACACCAAATTCCGGCCTAAATTTGAAGAGCTTGGTGCTAGGAAGTCTAGCCAAAAATACTCATGTGAAGTTGCTCCAAAACCTACTCTCAAACCTCTACCGGCTCATCTCAAATATGCATTTCTTGGAGATGATTCTACTTACCCGATGGTAATTTCTTCTACACTCACCTCTTTGCAAGAAGAAAAATTATTGAGAATTTTAAGGGCTCACAAGTCCTCCATTGCTTGGTCCTTGGCGGACATTAAGGGCATTTGTCACGCCCCGGACCTAGCCGGACACGTCAACAAACCGCCGTACAGTACGAATA